AAATTATCACTGGATGAGGTTAATGAAAAATTAGATCTTTTTCTTTATACAATGTAAAGGTTGGAAGGGAGCTTGAAGATGATCTAGTCCCATCACTTGCACAGTGCAGGAAGCCACTACTACAGCATCCCTGGCAGCATCTGTTAAAACACCAGTGAAGGAGAAATGATCTTATTAATCATCAAGAAAAAGATGAGAATTTTAAAGAACAAAGGGTATTGTATGAAGCAGTGTATGGACATGGTAGCACCAAGGATAGAAGGGAATGGAGAGGTATAGTGAATTGTGTTGGTGTAAGCTAGAGTTAGATTTCATTTCTCCTATTGTGCTTCCCATTTCTTTTGCCCACTATTTATCTTGCTGTTTCTGTGCTTTGCATAACATTGCCTTTCCTGAAAGGATGGGATGTAAATGTGCCTTTCTATCCAACAGGATAATCAAGATGGCTAGTAAAAGTAAAGTAATCAGAACATAATTAAGACATATACAGATATAAAGAACACACACACATTAAACGTGTGTGATGAAAACTCAGAAGTCCTGATTGAAGAGTTAAGTCTTAATTCCATTTGAGGGTTCACAGAAAGTAAAGATCAAATGCAACTCCCAATAATGTGTTACATAGCTTGGCAGGGATATGGTAAAAGGTCTTCTGCCATATGCTCTATAAGCAGACTATTGAAAAGGCATTTTTAAGGGCTTCTCTTGCAGAGCTTGGTATCTGCACAAGTTCATTGTAAGAGAAATGTTCCCTCAAAACTGTAAGCCAGAAGTGGACAACCTCAGGGCAGTATGTGGCACTTGAAAGTCTTGAATACAATCCACATTGAAGAGGAAAATTATTAAATGCATGACTAGATGTATTAACTACTTTTAACAACTGAATTAAATCAAGTGTAGTGTCTTGGTCCCACCTACTAATTTTTTAGCACTGGGCCCCTAGCAAGCCCCGAAAGTAAATGACAATACCCTGAATTGGATAGAGAAAGAATTTAGTAACCAGTGCAAGTCTTTCAACTACTACACATTGTTTCGTGAATTGGATGCCTCATTTTGCACCACTTGAAGCTTCTGGACTCTATTCAGGGTGAATTATAGTAGTCTAGTTATAATACAACCAAGGCATAGATAAATGTGGCTAGATCTAATCAGCTCAATTAACATATTTAGACATAATTGTACAAATAACCTTGGAGCCAACACCACCTGCTGGAGATCCAGAGACATCTGTGGATCAATGAATGGATTGCTCTTCCAGTGGCTAGAACAAATTGAATACCACTCCCTTTCTTCTAACCAACAGCACCCTTTTTAATTGGCTTTAATTTGAGACTTCATTCTTCTAGAAGTCAGAAATTAACAAAGGATGGAATGAAGACAAATAGAGTGAATCCCTGATTGTTCAGAACAGACTTATAAAAAATAGGGTCAACATGTGCACCCAAATATATTATAGAACTGTCCCAGTTTCCCCAAAGCCTTCTGAAACGTACATTCTATCATTTAGGCTAGTAGAAAAAGTTACTTACAGTATTTTCATTTATATCTTTCCTTTTTCCCAACAGCTCAGAAGATTTCTGTATGGTTTTCACCATGTTTTCCCCCATGGGATTGTCATAACTTTGTAATAACTGGCCCAAACTCATCAATTTTGTCTGAGAAGATCTGAACTTGTGTTCCAAGTTCTGGTCCAGCACTTTAATATCCAGACCACACTGGATATTAACCCATCTACAATATGCAGCTTTAATTTTGCAAGCATTTAATCCCTATCAAATTGATATCTGGAAGCAGAGAAAGATGCCTGTGAGTAAATTTTAAAGAGTTAACACTTTATATTCCATTGCAGTTATTACATTGACATTAATTTTCAATTGACACTAATGGTATACAAAGTTTATAAATAGAATAAAAAATAGAATTACACATTTTGTTTTCTAGGCCAGTACTTAAATTATTAACTCACTTTGTCTCCATTTCAGATCTAAGTAATTTAAAGTAGCAGCCTCATCTCCGTATTTTTAGCCTACTTTGAAAAATTGTTTGATGAGCTTACTAATAAATGAAAGTTATGTGCTTTCAGAGGAACTAAGGTTGCTGCCCACACATTTATTTGCTGCATCTCTGCTGAATCTCCCTTTCTTAACCACAGACGAAAGAGCTGTCAAGTTAAAACTGAGAGGGGCAGGAAATAATCCTTTATTGAATTGCTGCCAGCTCTTAAATAGAAACCACATTCATAAATTAAGGTTAAATGCATTTATGAAAGGGATTGGCAAAATTTCTGCCCCATAAATATTTATTTAAATGATGAAACCACACAGAATTACAAAATCCTGTGAGATTTTCATGATCACATGAGATTTCAATTTTATTTTAGTGGGAATCTCTCTCAGGTGATCAGCAGAAGGTATTTTGTTGAATTCTAATGTATGACATTTCATGGTTTCTTAGTGGTCCACAAAACACAATGACATCAATATAGCATTTAAGGATTCAGATAGCTTTCTTGGAAAACTGGGATTCCTTTTAAAAAACAGTATTCTAAGGTGTAACATGGAAGGAATAACATGCATGGTCTCAGAGTCATACATGACCCTTGATTTGATTCACTCTTTGGCCAGATTTTATTTAAAAATCTTTCATAAAAAGGTTGTACATTTAGAATTATCTTCCATCCTTTATGGAAAGATTTGGTATTACCCATCATGGAGGAATGGTTGCTGAAATTGACAGAACTTGCTGAGATGGACAAATTGACTTCTTTGATTAGAGAAAGGTCATTACTGCCATTCAGCAATGACTAGAAATTCCTTATGCACTTTTTGCATGAGAAAGAAAATAATTTTGTGGTTTATTGTTTTGATGATTAGAAATAATAGGTTATAGGAAGAACGGAATTATGATGAAATTGGAGACGGGTTTGAGTAGAACTGCATGTTTAATTGCCGAGAGGAATATC